GGGGGGGGGAGGGGAGGAGAGCCAAAAAACTAACCACCACTCTTCCAAGCACTTTTTCATTTTTTACCTTTGGACGAGGCAAGGATGGCAGGAAGAGCACATTTCATTGAGTTTTTGCTATTCTGTTCATAGGGCCAAAAGTTTCCATTGCAAAAACTGAAAATCCTCACCTACACCGCAGACCGTTTCCTGAGTCTAATAGACTTATGAGAAATTTTTAATCAAGCTATTAAGATATCAAGGGGAGTGAAGGGTATGCATGTTGGGAAATCATTTTAATCGTGTGTAGAATATTGATGCCAGCAGCCACCGGAGCAAAGTTTTTAAGATACTTGACTTGGTTTTGCTTTTGTTATTTTATCTACAGAGATAGTTACGAATCATAAAAAACAGTCTGTTGTTATATATACAAGTATACACACACACACAGAAACATGTACATGTAAAGAGAGAGAGAGCCCCTTTTCCCCAGGAATTAAGGCAATCCGTCTGGACTTGGGGTGCTGGGGATGGGGGAGAAACCCTGCCCAAAGAAGGCCCTTTTGCAGGTGTCTCTGGGGTGAGGCCCTTTGCAAAGCTTTACCTGCAGACCTAGAATTTAAACTTGTGTCATCACAGTCTACCTATCTTTCTATCTGAACGTCTGACTCAGGTTACCCAATTATCTTCACTGCATTCTGTGTAGTAATCAATCAACCCTATCCACATTTTCTTCCTCTCAGAGGTAAGAAAGCTTTTCAGAGCCACCCCAAGATGGCGAAACAGAACAGAAAGCTACCTTCAAATATCCATCCCACGGTATGCTGTTGTAATAAGTCTCAAGGGAAGTCCCTTCATAACTGATCAGAGACCCACTCATTTGAGAGAAGAAGGCTTAAACCCCACATTGCCCAAGAAAGAGGCCAAGGCCTAGGCCAAGGCTTTTGAATCCAAGTACGAGTAAACACCTGTTGGAGACCTACCCCCTCCATTAGTCAACACGTAATGCCAGAAGAGGAAATTGCAAGGCAGAACCCCAATACTAAAAAAAAAAAAAAGTTGCGTGAATCACTCAGCATATTCCATTTCCCCAGACCTATGTAATCATTCAACAAACTTAGGGTATAGGAAATCCCCAGATACCGTCCTGACCCTAATTAAGAAGTCAGAAATTGGCAAGGCCTCTTCCTCTTTTTGTTTCCTAGTACAAATGCTTTTATTGTATATGTTAATCAGATTTCCCCTAATAAGCGAAGAGCAAAGTGAAGAGGGGTCTCCCAAAGTGTGACTTGACCTGGATTGTGAATTCTCCTAGACTGTGATTCTTTGGGCTTGAGCCCCACCCCATCAGGCCCTGCAATAAGCAGTGATTATATCTAAATGGCTATTTGAAAATTCAGTGGTTCCCCCCCCTCCGCCCCCACCATATTCTTTCAGAGAGATACATTTTTTTTGAAAAACTGCTTAGACGGATAGTTTTCACAGCCACGTTTTGCAACAGCATGAAGACCTAGATTTTCATTTTGTCCTTAAAATGTCAGTGACTAAAAACACAAATTAATTAGTAAACAGTGTTTGCTCAGCTCTGATCACAAAATACGATATGACCTACATGATATTCAGGGTTATCAAAAATAACTATCTGATCGTTGTATCTTTAGTAAATTACATTCTACCCCTAGTTCCAACGTTATTTCCCTCTGTAGTCATTAGTGTCTGTTGCTTCCCCTTTTATTTGATATTCGAAATAGTCTCATGTTGTATTTTAAAAACCACCCCATCACCCAAGCATATACCTTCATAAAACTTCCTGTGTGCACGATAAAAAATAACACTTTAAGCCATAAAATTTGGAAATTTCCTCTCCTTGGAGAGTACAATAGGATTATGGAACAAAACGTAAAGCGAATTTCGTAGTTTGTAGAATTTCTTTGTATTACTTCCCCATCGTCATATCACATTCCTGAAGTTACTCGATTGAAATTTCACAAGAACCTAGATTCAACTACAAGGTTGTGTAGATTACACAATAGATTGGCAGTTTTTATATTGGTGGTGTGTTCTTTAACCCCTCCTGGACCTGTTCAGGCACTTGGTGAATTGTGTGTTGCTGGATCTACTCCAAATGAAAAAGGTTCAAGTATCAACCACTGAAAAGAAATTAAATAAACTCAACAGAGGAATGTGTTGTCACAAGATCTACAGGATCCTTGTCATTGTAATACAGTTAAGGCTATTAAAATGATTTTAGTCACACGTATAGTGTAAAGAACTTGCTAAACAAACACAAAACCTGAAAGGAAAATTTCCAGAAAGATTCAAGTCATGGACAAAAAAAAAAATGTAAACTGCAAATTACCTTTGCCCCACCCTGGGAGCACAAAATAATAATGGAGAATTGATAGTGGTGGGAAATAGCATTTGTGATGAAATTGTAACCAAAGTCTTATTTGATTATATGTCAATTTTTATCCTCAAGAACATGTTCTAGCAAATATTTCTGAAGGAGAAATTCGTTTTGATAGTCTTGCCATAGGGTTTAGAACATTCTCATTGCTTACGTCTTTCAAAGTGCCGATACCTGATCATCAGTCACCTCATTCACTTGGATGAAGTGCTCCTGTACTTTACAAGCTGGTCTGAGTCAGAGTTCTCCTCTGAAGTCTCACAGAGACCAGTTCTGTCTCTCAAGATCTGGAATAATTGCAAGTCCTGAGATAGGGTGCAATCAGCTTGAATCTGGAGGACTCAGCAGTGAGAAAGGAAGTAAACGCCAGAGAAACTCGAAGGGTGCATTAGGGAGGAGAAATATTAATGGGAAAATAAAAAACTCCGAACCCATTAAACCAAGAAAGGAAGGAAGATGTCGCTAGGTCATCCCAACAGTGAGCGGTTTAGACCTATGTAAATGCGCACAGGCCCTTACCCACACTGGCCTTCATACCGCCCCCTTGGGTTTGTAAGATGACCTTTCCACATCTAATTATACTATTTGTTGAGTCTAGTAACCCCACCTCAGCTGTGATATTAGTTTGACCAAGAATATGAATGAGAAGT